GCTATCAATGGAAACATTTGGAAAAGTAACGTTTTTTACTTTTTCTTCACGGTTCTAATTAATATCTTTTCGAATAAACCCAAAATTAGCAAGTAATTAATTAGCATAAATTCCATTACAATACAAGGATATATGCTAATGGTTTATTCGTTTTTGTTTTTAATTTCTTGTTCTGTTAGAAATGATAATTTTATCATCGATTCTCAACATAAATCTTTGTAATAATTAGAAACACGAACAAATCAACGATAGATATTTTACTTTTAAGATATAGAAGATCCACTAAATCTGCATAATTCGCATTTTCGAAACCTAAATTTTAGTTTTGTTATAAAGATATTAATAAATTATTGGTCGGTCTACCACTATGACCAAAAAGTTTTCTATTGGTAAAGAAAAATAATTGTCTGATTCCTGTACTTTTTTTTTATATTTAGATTAATGAAAATCTTTTAACCACAAAAATAATAATAATAAAGAAAATCAGGTGGAATAACCCAGAAAAATTTATAACTAAGAACATAACCAATTAACTTAAATTTAGTGTATATAATTATGCAATATACACTTATTTTAGTTAGTTCTTTAATTATTATTTTGTTATTGAGCAAATTAACTCTAATAATAATCATCCGATTTCTTGAACAAACTAGAAAATATTTGGCATTTAGTATCGAAAATATTTGGCAAAAAAAAAAGGTTTAGTATTGAAATATAAGGAGTTAAATACGAATCAGATATATTGTATTCAAATTCGGCTCATAGTAATATAATATCTCGAAGCTTTTTTGTTGTCTGGACATATCTGTAACCATTTGCAGCGAGTGTGTGGTGACACGAACACAAGAAGGTGGAATTATCTATGTACGATAGAGATCGATTTGTACTTTACCAGTGAAAAAGACAGTTCACTAATATTAATTAATTATATCAATATTTTTGTTGACAAAAAAAAAAATCAATATTTTTGTAAGTAGTTGTAACTATGAAACAGACATGTTCTTTTTTTTTTGTTTTTTGGGTCATAAAATCTTTTTTTTCTTGTGGACCAAAATTAAATCTGTAGTTCAATCGC